TTCGCTGTGGTCTCAGCTATAAAGTATGGGCTAATTAATTTTTTATCACTCACCTCTTTCCAACATATCGATGATCTACAGGGATGGTTGTACAATGCCTCATACGGAGCCATGTCGATACTTGCTTGATAACTGTTATTGTAGCCGAACTCTATCAAGGGTAGATGATCGTCTCAATGCCCTCTGAAGTCTAGAACACAGGACCTGAACATATCCTCTAGTGTGCGAATACTTCATTCTGATTGTCCATCTATTTGAGTGTGGAATGTTATGCTAAGGGATAGTTTTGTTCTCATTGCTTGCTAAAAACTTGAGCAAAATCAAGAGGTGAACATGGAGTTCTTGTCTGATACCATTGTCACCAGAACTCCATGTAGTCTGACTATCTCCCGGATATAAATATTTGCTAGTTTGTCTAAAAGGTTAGTCATTCTGATGGCCAATAAGTGAGAGGACTTGGTAAGTCGGTCAACAATTACCCAAATTGCATCATGCCCTAAGAGTGCTTTAGGAAACCCTATTACAAAATTCATAGTGATACGTTCCCCATTTCCATTCCGATATTAGTAATGGCTGAAATAGTCTGTTTGGGCATTGATTATAATACCCGGGCCCGAGATTTGACTCAGGATTAATTTTCAAAATTATATAAAAATATAAATTTTAAATTTATAAATTTTTATTTAATGTAAAATTAGAAAAAAATAGGTGAAGAATAAAATTAAAAATAATTTTAGAAAAAATAGGTAAAAATTTAGGTTTAGTGGGTATTTTTTAAAGAAAAATCGAAAATTGATGATCAAAATGCAATTAAGAAAAATTGTGTCATGTAGGACCGTCCCCAATCAGCAGCACCGACGAACTGGAGTGTGCCTTATGACAAGGCACACTGACTCGGTGCCACGCGGGAGGCCACACTGGCAATCCGCGTGCTCACGATTGGATGGTCTGAATGTGTTCCAACACGCGTGGACGGTCTGGATCCATTTCCTCCTCAGGTACGATCAGACGATCGCGATTAAACATGATGAACGGTCCAGATTATTTTTTTTTATAAACGCAATCGTACGGTCCATATCAAATCACGATGGACAGTCCAGATTCTTTAAACGCGATCGGACGGTCGAGATCAAACGCGATGAATAGCTCAAATTTAAGAGAAACGAGTATAAATATCTCATTTCTCACCGAACTCAAACCCTAATCGCCAGCCTCCTGCCGGAGAAGAACAACTAGTCACTGGAGAAGGAAGCCGACCGCTGCTCACCGCCGTGCCGGAGCCATCTTCGACCATAAAAAAGGTAAAAATTATCCTATTCGCTCAGAATTTGATTTTGAACACCCTAATGGCCAAATTATAATAAAAAGAATAGCGGATGAGCCAGAAATTAGGGGTAAAGCCCAGGGCACTGCCGCAAAAAAACTAAAAACTTCCTCCGATGAACCTCTTCTAGTTTCCTGTTTCGTGCAATTTTTCCACCACTATGTTCATCGTTCTATTTTTTACAGGTTGACTGAAGAAA